ATGAATCCATGAATAATATATGGTCGTGCTGGGTATGTATTTTTGAAGCATACTTAAATGAGGACATGCCCTAATATCATTCTGCAACTCTGCTTTTCTCGTTAAAGGTTTTCAAGATTTCTTCCTGTTGATACTTATATCTGGTTCATTTCTTTCTTTCTTTTTTTTTTTTAAACTTTATTGGGGAACAATGTGTTTTTTCCAGGACCCATCAGCTCTAAGTCAAGTCGTTGTCCTTCAGTCTTAGTTGTGGAGGGCGCAGCTCAGCTCCAAGTCCAGTTGCTGCTTTCAATCTTAGTTGCAGGGAGGCGCAGCCCACCATCTCATGTGAGAATCGAACTGGCAACCTTGTTAAGAGCACGCACTCTTACCAACTGAGGCACCTGGCCGCCCCTGGTTTATTCCTTTTCAGTGCCGAGAAGTGTTTCATATTGTGACTGTACTACGGTTTATGAACCTGCCCCACTGTTGATGGACACTTGGTTGTTTCTGTTTTTTCTGTGTTATAGGAACATCGCCGTAAATGTCTTCCTGCCTGTCTCCTGAGGCAGGCACGTGCCTCAGCAGATTTTGGGTCTGCTGGTCAAGTTCAAGTAGGCCCAGACTAACCCTTTTGGCCTCCCTTGGGTTTCTCTGAGTTTCACCACAAAGACCAGCTGACTTCTTCTTCTCCTTAGCTCTCTAAGCAAAGGAAAGTCTTGGGGGAACTGGGAGGGATAGAAGAGGGATCTGGTGAACGGAAGAAGCCCAGGCATGGTTTGTATTATCATCCCCACCCCACCCCTACTGCCTTTTGGTTCATGTTTGGTTTTTATTCTGTGTTAATATATATATCATAATACCGTTTAAGAAAACTCAGACATATCTATCTCACCCCCATTCCTGCCTCATTAGCACAACTGTTTTCACTTTTCTGAGTCCCTTTTGGTCTTTGTCCACACACGTACATGCTTACCCATAGTTGTAATTATGCACATAGCATTGCATATTCTGTGTTTTCTATTTAACAATACATTACAGACATTTTCCATCTTGCCACAGTCTTTATAACGACCCTTTCCGTGGCCGCATGACATTTGGCCATGCCAGTGTGCCCTGACCGGCTCTTCCTGCCCTAGGGTCTGCTTTTCCTCCCGTTTCTCTTCCCTGACTCCCAGCGGCCTGAGAGGGATTACTCCCAGCACCCTCAGATCATGTTGTCATCTAGAAGCTGAGAAAGAAGGCTCTCTGGGGTTACAACCCTGCCCAGCTTCTCTGCCCCAAACCCCACCACCACTGCCACCTCTTTTAAAACTGCCTCTTTCATTGGCAGTAGAAAAGCAACCAAGCTAAACTGTGCAGCCGTCTCAGTCCACATGGCTTGGAGATTGTTTTAAATATGCACAAAGAGGCTCCTTCCAGGAGGAGGCAGTTTGGAGTGGGCTTCTTGGGCCTTGTTCTTTCTTCTCTAGGTTCGGAGGGAGATGGTCAAGGGGGAGCCTTAGGCACTGCTTGTGGTCCAGCACAGCTTCCCAGGCTGTGAGGATTGGGGCAGAAGCCCTCTCTAGGAGGGTAGAGTATATGTTCTTTGCCCCAAAGTTAAGCTTGGGATGGTACAAGTAAAAGAACGGCAGCTCCAGGCTTGGCAGACATCACACTGTTACTGGAACCCTTACTGCGGTGCTGCCATTGTCTCTGTATTCTGTTTTCTTTAGCTGACTTCCTCCCGCAGGCATCGGGGTTTCTGTTTATCCCACTAGAGCAAGGCACCAGTCTTTTGTGCCTCTGCCTTCTCAGGAGCCACATAGTCAACTCAGAGATGATTAAAAAAATAATGATGAACTTATTTATTAACAAGACCTAATATTTATGGAGTACTTACTATATACCAGATACTCTGCTAAAAAGCACTTTATACTTGTCATCTTTTTTATTGCTCATAACAACCAAATAAGATAGTTTTTATGTGAACTGTCACTGGCCCCATTTTGATGGCTGGGGAAGTGAGAAGTTACGCGACTTGCCTGGGTTGTCCTTAGAATTCTAAATGTAGCTTTCCCCCCCTAACCATCCCAGCCATCCCAGCTGGGAAATGGTAAATTTAAGCGAAGCAGAGATGAGCTGCTCCTTTTCATTCCCTCCAGAGGAGCCCCTTGCTGTGTGGAAGTTATTTCGTGTAAAGGCATCGATTAGAAATTTTCCATTCCCTTTAAGTTGTTTCCCATTAGCGGCTTTGCCCTCTTTTCTGCTTAGAAGTGTCTGCTTCAGGGAGCCCGCTTTCAGGGAGGCGGAGCAGGGAATGCATGATGGGCGAGGAAAGGAAAGAGGTGATTGTAGTCTCAGCCTCCTTCCCCACAGCCTTGGAGAGGAGGAGAAACAGGAGGTGGGTGGGGCAGATGCTAGAGCCTACCTGTGCCCTGGTCACCACAGTTCCCAACCCAGGTGCCGAGAGCCCCCACCAGGGGTGGCCCAGTAGGAAGAGCAGCAGCTTTTAGAACAGGAGGAACCCAGCTTGGGCCACTTATAGCTGGATGTCCTGGGGTGGGTAAGTTGACCTGTAAAAGGAGGATGACCGTAGTTCCTGTAGCCATCTGTTACAAGGATTGGGGACTGAGTTGGATGGTGTCTGTCGTGCCTTGCACAGAGCAGATGCCCTAGAGAGGCGAGCTTCCCATCTCTCCCCTGCTCGTTCGTCCCTGGAGGAAAGCAAGCACTTAGGGCTCTTGGGCCAAGCTAACCAAGATCTGGTAATGGGAAGGGGGCCTGGGGCGATGCATATAGATTCTTTTCCCATCCATGTGCCAGAAATGGGCTCCTCTGGGTTGTAGTCTGACTATGGCTATTTTACCAAGTTGCTTTCTGTTTATGTACCACTGTCACATGCACTTTGTTATCCTGGGCTCTCAGACATGGGCTTTGGTGCTCAAAGCACCAAAAACAAGCAAGGGCTGCCTTCCCATAGTCATGGGGAAGGGGTGGGGAGACCCACAGCCCCGGGGAGCTGCTCCATGGTGGAATCAGCTGAGGACTCCTCAGCAGCCAGCTGGGAGCTCCAGATCCTTTCCCTGCCCTCCTGGTCCCCACAGGCATGGATTCGATAGAGGCTGCAGCCATCGCAACCAACAAGGCCCCTTAGAGTAGTCACTTGAAGAAACTGAGGCCCCAAACCCGGAAGTGGGCTTCTTTGCCTTCAGATTTCCCTTTTCCTCCCTTCTGTGTCCTCTGTGCTTGCTTGTCCTCCACAGACCAACTTGGCGTCCTATATCTGGGTTCCAAACGGGCTGGCTGCTGTGTCTAATCATAGCAGTGGGCGGGCCCTGGTTTAACCTAACACTCGTAATTGCCCAATTTCAGAAATGCATTGACTCTGATTAAAGAACTTCGCCAGAGCATTTTTGAGTGGGGCATGGTGGAGGGGAGGCCCTTGTCTGCAGCCAGCTGGCCTGTTGTGGCCCCAGCCCCAGCCTTGGTTAAGGCTGCTGACTCAAAGCCCAGCCCGATTCTCTGGGAAGGGGACACACCTGGTGTGAGCCCCAGGCCTCCATGGGATAATGTGCAGCTGTGAGGATGAGGCTGGAAACATCCAAGTCTTCTGTGCCCTGGAGGCTTAGACAGTGCTGAGTGCATCTTAAATCCCCATGAGAACCGGCTGCGATGTGGTGGGAATGGCTGTTCTCCAGAGCCCATGTCTCCCTGGGCCTGTTCCTTAGTACACCATGCCACTTCTAATAGGTGTGAACATAATGGATTTGTCTATTCCTTTTGAAGACAGGCCCACCACCGCATGCCCACTGCGCCAACCCCGTGGCAGGTTACAAAACACCAGGGCCATATCTTTGGTATCTCAGCATTCCCCCACCCCCCTCCCCGCCATGAGAAGTAAAATGTCACTGGAGTGAATTACCGACTAAATGTTTAAGAATCTATAAATATTAAATTGCTTTGGCTTTCACTGGCCCATGTAAAATTAAAGCCCTGGTCAACTTCAGAGGAGAGGCGGTTGGTTAGTGCAAGGTGGAAGGGAATGGCTGCGGTGCAAGGACCAGTAACCCCAAAGGGGAGGGTCAGGGCTGACTCTGTGAGCTGTGGTTGGTCGGGGTGGCCCAGGCTGGAGGAGAAGCAGCGGGGTGCACAGAACAGGGAGGTAGAAAACCCAAATGCAACTGTAACCCAGGATGGGGTTTCTCTGATTTTTCATTTGAGTCTGTACGGTTGGGGTGCGGGGGTGGGGGGGTGCGGTGAGGTTTCTGTTGCATTTCTTACCCCAGCCCAGGACTCTTAATGTGAGGGCCGCAACATGCTCCCTCCAGGGACTGTCCTGCTCAGAGTCGGTATTGGAACCTCCGCAGGCAGCAGGCTGGAGATTGGGGGTGGGGGCTGCTGGCTTGCTGGAAGCCAGTAGTTCCCTTCCTGTTCTCCCAAGGCCGCCCCTGCTCCAGGGTCCTTGCTGACACCATCTCCCTGTGCTCAGACACCGTCCCCCGTGTGCTCAGACTGGGGGCGGGGAAGGGGGGTGTTCCTCCTGTCTATGTGAGGACTCCCATCACATGGTTGGTCTGTGCATCTGTAACAAGGACACTTGCTGCCTGAGAGCGTATTTTTACACCACCTTGGTTAGGTTTTAGACTCCCAGCAGGTGGGGGTAGCGTCTCCTGGTTCTTTGGGATCTGTTTGGGATCTTCTTTGGGATCATTACTTCTATGTGCCGAGACCCTATGCGAAGTTCTTTAAATGCACAAGTCATGGATCTCACATAGTGGGATAAGATAGGAACTGCAGTACACCCACCATAGAGCAGTAGAGGATATGAGGCCCAGAGAGGTGAAGGGACTTGCACAGGGTTCCACAGGCAGACCCAAGGGAATTCTGAGGCTATTCAGCTGTGGAGCCTGGCTTCCATCCCATGGCTTCCTGACTCTGAATCCTGAGCCTGTATCTTGTCTGGGTCCTGCCGTGAACTGTGGGTGGGAGCTGGCCCTTCCTGCTGGGGCCTGCGGCCAAGCGAGCTCTCTCTTTTTCAGGCATCCCCACCCTCATCGTGCTGGACCCGCAGGGGGAGGTGATCACGCGGCAGGGGCGGGTCGAGGTGCTGAACGACGAGGACTGCAGGGAGTTCCCGTGGCACCCCAAGCCCGTGCTGGAGCTCTCAGACTCCAACGCCGTGCAGCTCAACGAGGGCCCCTGCCTCGTCCTTTTTGTGGGTATGAAGCTCAGTGGGGACCCCAGGGCTGCCAGGACAGGCCAGACTCTCCTGGGGGGAGGGGGGGGGGTCTGTCCCTGCAGCCTCTTTAGGTCACCGAACAAAGCAGAGGCTGGGCTTTTGTCTCTCCCAGCAGCCTTGCTTTTGACCCCAATGATTTATTCATGGCTCTCTCCCTGTGGGAGGTGTTCTCGGAGCTGCTGCTGTGCTTTCTTTCCTCACTGCTCCTGACTGTCAGCTGGGAAGACTAGGTGAGGTCCAGAGATGCCCTGGGGGGTGGGGGGCCTGATGGACAGACAGCATGGTAGGTAGGAGGCGGGGCTGCACGCACAGCAGCTGCAGCGGCTGGGCCCGCTCGGGCCCTGGCTCACCCAGGGCTGCTTCTGCTGGTCACCTGTGTTCGGACCAGCTGCCCCAGGGACTGTTGGAGCTGGACCAGCCTCAGGCGGCATCTCTGTGGCCAAGTGCTCTCCTCAGTCTCCACTGTCTCGCCCATTCTGGGGCTCAGCGTTGGGTCAGGAGGACACAGGAACATTTACTCCCCGCTCCCTGCAGCTCCGTGCGTGGGGTGACCCTGATCCCTTGTACAAACGGAGCACTTGCTGCCCAAGGACACCCTCTGCCTTGGGACTTGTTACTCAGCTCAACTCAAAATAATTTTGGGTACTAGGATCATGGCTGAGATGCCGCCATACCTACCTCACTGAAGGAGGTTAGGGGATATGTGCAACACCCTACCCCCGTTCTCTGAAAGCCTGGTATGGGGATCACTGGGTAGAGGGGAGCCAATATGCAGACTTGGGAGTTTTTAAGCACACTGACTTGCAGTCTGGTCCTGTGCTTAGAGGACAGAGTCCCTCAGAGAGAGACGGCCGTGGGGCTCTCTTGCCTGCTGCAGGCTCCCACACCTTGTCCTGGGGCTTGGGAAACAATTTTGAACGGAGGGACAATTGGGAACCTCACTGGCCATCTGCAGATGTGGAAACAGGGTCCCCGAGAGGCAAAGAGTTCCCGGCATCACAGGACTAATTAGATGTGGGTCTAGAGTGTGTCCCGCAGAGCCTGCATGCTACAGGAATCCGGTGGTGTGGCATTTCTGGGTGAGAGTTATTTGCTGGCACCTATTTCCCCCCCCCCCCCCCCCCCCCCTGCCACTCTTGGGGATGTTTCTCTTGCTCTCAGTTACAGAGTTCAGCAGGAGTGAGGGCCGGCCCCTCCCCGCATGTGACTGCTTTCATACTGCTATTTCACTGGAGGCAAGAGAAACCCCATAGGGGGCTCTGGGGAGCCTGGCTGGGTGGTTTCCATGCCATCAGGTGAGTCTGGCTGCCAGCTGTGCCTCCCCACTGCCAGCAAAGCTGCTGACCAAACCACAGTCCTACCCACCACCACTTCTGCCATTTTCCTTAAGAAATCAGAGATCTGAGGTCGTAGTATCTCATTCTGTGATTGAGAGAAAATCTACCCGGGCCTCTCAGGTCCTGGCTTAGGGGAAACTCAGCTTCCAAGGTGGGTTTGTGAAGAATTCAGTGAAAAGGATCACGTTTACCCCGGGGCATTAGTGCTCCTCCGTGAGGTAGGTTGTTTCTAGGGGACATGGTGCAGGAGGGCGCTGTGCGAACCAGTGAGTACTTGAACCCACCTTCGTGCACCCAGGAGGCGAGACCTGTGTCCCAAGGGAAGCGCCTCCTCCATTCACGGGCTTCCCCGATGCGTTCAAGCCCTGGACCCAGGCACCCCCAGGGGGCACCACTCTTTGACAAACCATTGTGCTTCTTCATGTCTTTCTCTCCCGGTCACAGATTCTGAGGACGATGGGGAGTCGGAGGCGGCCAAGCAGCTGATCCAGCCAATAGCCGAGAAGATCATCGCCAAGTACAAAGCCAAAGAGGAGGAGGCGCCGCTTCTGTTCTTCGTGGCAGGGGAGGTGAGTGCCACTGGGGCCGGTCTGAGGGCCGACTGTTAGAACGCGAGTGATGGGCTTTGGGGGATGTTGGAAGGGGCCGTGGGGTCTGGGGTGATGTTGCTTCTGGGAGCGCCCACAGACAAATGTGGCGTGAAACAGGGTGTCATCATCAGTCATGGAAAACCATTTCCTGCCCCTGCTGCTGCTTCCTTTTTCTGTTGTCTTCACTCAGCAGCCACAGAGCAGCAGGATGCCCTCCTAGGAGACAGCCCCTCATGCCCGTCTCCCACCGAGGCTGCTGGGGAGCGTGACACAAATCGTGACCAGCACTCACTCCCTTGGGGCCAGGTCCACACCAGGCCCTTGACGCTTTGCAGACTTGTCTGCTTGGTTAGTCCCTTTGCACCGGCCTGCAGAGAGGGCTTTTTCCGTTACAGGGATCCTGCTGGGGGCCCCAGCTCCAACCTGCAGGTACCCAGCCAGCCCAGGGAGAGTGCTGAGGTTGGAAACTGCTAACATCCCTATCTCTTTCACCCAACACCTGTCCCTTGAGCTGGGTTAGAGGGCTTTTCACAGGGTGAGAAGGCTGAGCCAGTCAGTTGTGCCACCTTTGCCAGGTAACTGCCTCCCGCAAGGTGTAGGTGCCTCCATCCTGCAGACTCTGGGAATCTCTGCAAGATGGCCATGGTCGGCACAGACCCTCTACCTCGGACCCCACCCCCAGGAGCCATCCTCCACGCATGCTCCACCACCACCCCCTGGCCCCCACAGCCAGGCACTCACCATAAGCTGGTTATTGACAGACACACTTTTAGAAGCCCCCCCTGCCCTCCTTCCACCCATCTGTACCTCCAGTTGGTCAGAGCCCCATGCTCATTTCACACTGTGTTTGGATCCCAGGAGAAGCAGCGGCAGCCAGACACCCTGGACCCCCACCCATTCATCATGTCAATAGCTATTCCTGCTAAGCCCCGCAGGGCCCCTCGCAGGCAGCTGAAATTATCCTGCTTGGCTGTGGGGTGGAGGGAACAAAGCAGGTTCACAGGGCCCTGCCTTGGGGCTACACGAGCCCACTCTACACAAAGCACAAATGGAGGCAGCCCTGAATTTATTAAACTCTAAGCCCTTTCGAATGGCTCTGAGAGAAAAGATGGGTGCAGAGCAGAGAGGGCTAAGCCAGGGCGGGGGTGGGGCCATAGGGCTCCAGTAACTGCTATAGAAATGTGGCTGAAAAGGAGCGTTTGCAGGTTTTCTATATACCAGGCAGCAAGCCAAGTGCTTTTCCTGCACCGTCCTATTTGTCCCCACCTCCCTGGTTGGGGACATAATCATTACATCTTGACAGATGAGGAAAGTGAGGCTCGGAGAGGGTGAGACCACTCTGAGTCTGCTCAGCTGGGCTCTGAATGCTGGCTGGTCCTCCACGCCTCACCTAGCCCCGTGTGAGCTGGTATTAAAAGCATTGTAGAGGGCATGAGACATAGGCTTGGAGAAGTGACTTTCCAAAGTCACACATTAAGCAGGTGGCAGAGAGAGAAGTGAATGGAGGTGGGGATGACTCCAGGAGCAGTGCCCTGCTCCTTTTGTCCTTGTGGTCCAGCTGATGGACGAGCCCAGACCTAGAGGGAAGGATGTCTGGACCAGGAAGTTGGACAGAGGAGCCGGGGTCATCCCCTGCTCCAGTTCCCCGCCGAGCCATCTCGTCCTTTCTGTGCACTTTGCCTGGGCTCTTGGCCTGGACAGCTCTCTTGGTCCACTTCCCTGTCCTCGTGCTCAGAAGCAAGGCAGCATGGAATGGTGGTGGGCATGGGGCGCTGGGACATCAGGCATTGACTGAGCACCTCTGAGCCAGCACTCTGGCCTCTCACGTTCCACCCAGGGCTAAGGGGACCCCTTGTTTGTCTTGATCCTTCTGCTCTGATGGGCAGAAATCTTCCCGTCTGGAGCCTTAATAGACATTAATATTCATCTCCCTGTGGTTTGCTCAGAGGGAGGGGAGGCAGTGGGAATTCGATGTATGGTATCTGCCCAGATGTCTCCCTCTGTCGTGAAGATTGTTTATTAACCAATATGGAGAGACTGAATTGGGGGAACAGTGCCAGAGATGTTGAGTCACCCAGCAATGCTGGAAAGTGCGTGCTGTTTCTGGGGTGGGGAAATAGACAGTCACTAATAATCTTCCTAAGTATTTGGCCTTTGCAAAAGGAATGTTTTTAGTCTCAGAAACCGGTGAGCTGTACATTTCATGCCTCCTGCTCGCCGTCATTTAAGGCCAGGAATACCCCACGCCCTCCCTCTGCAAGGCGACGCATGTCTTTTCATTCAGTTTAGAATACTGCACATTTTATAGTGAGACCACCTCGGGATGAGGATGTAGAGTTCATTTTCTGTTTCCTACCAAACAAAGATTGACAGCGGAAAAGGTAATCTCAAAGGGTTGCTCCCTTACAAATCTTTCTCCTTGTCTTTCTGTGTTTGCCTTTATACTAATAATGCTACATCTGATATTAGGGAAATTCTCCCTCGCTGGGAATATGTAATAAAGTACCAACTTCCTGCTCGGATAAATACAGCGACCCGTGTAAACTTCGGTAGCCCTGTCTCCCAAACTGGCTGTGTGACTCCTACCCCCTGAAACCACAGGGGTGGGGTGGAGTGGGGGGGCAGTTCTGTTTAAAAACAGTCCAGAACTGAAGTCCAGCTTGGCCTCAGGCCACAAAGGATTGAGGTTGATTGAAAAGTAAATAATCAAAGGACATCACATCTTTACAAAGCAGAGGACACAGAAAAGCTGCTTTCTTGCTAACGAAGAGGACTTGCCTGAAGGGTTTTGGTTATGCCTAGAGAACTTTCCGAGCCAGCCTCCACAAGGCAGCGCAGGGTCCACTGCTCCCCATCCTCAGCCCGTTTTCCCTGGAGTGAGGCCCGCTCTTCAGGGTCATGATACAATGGTTCCATTCCCTGCCATCTGGGGAGCCTGGGCCCAGGGGAACTCTATCCTTTCTTGAAAACTTACTGGTTCTCTCCCTTCTGGTGACTTCCAGGATGACATGACTGACTCCCTGCGAGATTACACCAACCTGCCTGAGGCTGCCCCTTTGCTCACCATTCTGGACATGTCAGCCCGGGCCAAGTACGTGATGGACGTGGAGGAGATCACCCCCGCCATTGTGGAGGCCTTTGTGAATGACTTCCTAGCAGAAAAGCTCAAACCAGAGCCCATCTAGAGGGGCTCCGGCCTCATGAGACGTTATTTAAAACTCAGTCTTCTCCTCCTCCTTCTCCCCCTCCTCCCCTCCACCCATGGACTTTTCCAGCGTGTCCTGAATCACACAACCCAAGTGTCCAACCTCTCTGTGGTGCCTTGTTTTCTGCATTAACTCCTCAGCTAGCGCCCTTGGGTGCGCACCCTCTCAGAAGCAGAAGAACCCACCATGTTTGGAGACTCTGCTTGGGACTCACGGGGCGGCAGTAACCCAGCCAGAGCTGGGGCTGCATCGCTCTCTCAGTCACCAGCTCTTGGTGACCGAGTCTTTGCCAGGGTGTTCTTCTGCCAAGTGTGCATGAAGGGACAGTGCATCGGTGCTCTGGCTCTGCCTCTGGTGTCAGCTCTACACACAGAGCCGACACAGCTCAGTGACACAGGTGGGGCAGCGAAAGGGCCGCGGCCTCGTTAAGGCTCAGCTTAGAGCTGCTGGTGAGAACATCCTTTCCTGGGTGACTTGGTCTGTCTTGGTCTGAGGGAGGAACACTAACTTGTCAGTCAGTGCTTGGGCAGGGGCCCTCCAGATCTCAAAGGAAGCTTGTGTTCTTTTCTGGTGAGAACAAGAGGGGCTATGGTAATGAGTCATATAGCAATTGCTTCCTTTGATTGAGCTCCTACCATGGGATAAGAGCTTCTCATTCATTCCTTATCTCTTTCTTCCTTGATCTTGACCTTCTCTAAGTCTCTGTCTTCTCATACAAACAGCCCCTGCTAGCTGGGAATTTTGTTAATAAATTCTCCCCTTTGGACATCTTCCCAGGAAGATGCGCTTGGCCCTGTGTCTTGGAGCAGCACCGCCTCGCCAGCCAGACCTCTGACCCAGCCCAGCTCTGGGCCTGGGGCCGCTGGAGCTCTCCTGATGTGCCTGTGCCTATCTTCGGTTATCCCTGTCATTCTCTTTTCTTTTCAGAGCAGAACTAAAAAGAGACAAGAAATTACCAGAAGCCTAGCTTTTCCCTAAGAACCTGCAGAAAAAGAGCTGCGCCCTAGGGTGGGAGTGAGGGCAGAGGACGCATCAATGAAGAAAGAGTAGGCCTTGGATCCACTCTGCTAGACCCAGGTAGCTTGGCTTCTTATGTGGGCTGAACTGACCACAAAAAGGAAAAGAACATCCATGTTCTAAGGATTTGGGCTGGAGGGCTTTGCCGAGGGACTTGCAGGGTTTTAGCCCATCTCAACCAGGTGTCAGGGTCTTTAAACAATTCCAGGCCTTACCCTTGGCTCCACCTCACAGCACTCTGCCAACCAAACAAGACCATGTCTTTGGGAAAACCCAGCCCCTCAATTAGCTGTAACACCATTGCTCCTTGCCAAATGGGATTGTTGATTTGTAGTTTCAGAGGTACAAAATTAGTTGGTAATTAGACTGTTACTTGATGTCACCAGCCTGAAATGCAATCACCTAGTAAGAAATAAAGCAGGCATCTCTGGATGTTACCAACCAGTTGGCCTTTTCTGTCCTAATAACAAAAATGGTTTTGCTTGTGCTGCTGTGCTCTCTTAGGAGGTGGGTAATGGAGGGGAAAGGGACCTACGAGATCCTTCTGACTTTCATTGGATACCTGGTAGCTACGCGTCAGAATTTTCGAGAACCCTGAGACCTAACATGGTCATCTGTCATGTCCTCCAGAAGCCAGAAAGTTCATTTGGATTAGAAGACCGGAGCTCCCACCGCCATCTCTCCTGATTGACCTTGCCCTTGATGGGGGCAGATTCTCAGATGACAGACATCCTTGTGGACACTCAGTGCTCATTCATTCCCTCCCTACAGGGGAGCAAGTGCTCTGAAGCCTGAGAAGGCCAGGTAGGGAACACAAGGAACCCCACTGGGTTCCCCCGTGAAGAATGGGAATATAGTTGGAGACCCTCAAACCTAGCACGATCACCCTGCCAGTGTCTCCCTTGCAGGGTGGGTTGGATGTGGGGACGAGGTAAGGCTGACCTTGCTTGGAAGATGGGCAGGGTTTCTGTCCGTGCCCTCTATTGTGATGACCTTGGGGGAAGGGAAAGGTGTCTCTCTTAGGAGCTACTGATCATCTGGGGCAGAAGGAACATAATCCAGTGAGGAATCCCTGGAAATCATGGCCAACAGAAAAACTAGGTCGTCTGGGATCTTCCTACAGCCTCACAGGGCTGACTGAACTACCTGCCACTAATGTCAGCTGGATCCTTGACACCAGAATGCCCTGTTTAGAGTGGGTGTGTAGGTTAGTTAAGATCAGCGAGAAGGTTTACTGAAAAGGCGCTGTAGGTTTATGTCATGGCGACTTGAGGAGGAAATGCCAGGGGAGGATCACTTCGCCAGTGCCCGTGAAATATCCTTGTCTCAATAGAACAAAAGATCTTAAAGGTTATTGATGCAGACGAAGTGGGTGGCTTCTTAATTTCCATTAAGCAGCTCCAAAATACCTTAAAATGCTTGTCGCTAATTGGAAGCAGGTTCAAACACCAGCTGTGGTGTATTCAAGGGCTTCCGACAGCAGCTAAGGAAACCATGCCCTCCAGGTTGAGGCAGGGTGGTGGCTGTAAAAATGCCACCCTGGGGTTCCAGGTTTGTGTTCACCACAATGACTTCCAGATCCGATTCTAGCCATTTGCACGTGCGATGAGATTTTTTTTTTTTTTAACCTGTTCGGGATTGGTAGTATTACAGCGAGCAGCTGCCAATGCCAGAGGGCGACTGAATACCAGCTTCCTTTCCAGGAGTGAGGTGGCTGTCTGCTATGCACCCCCTCCCCCAAGTGCGTCCTCGAAATCAATGGCTCTCACTTATCTGAGCACAGGGAGACAGGACTGCTTTCTTGGCATCAGCCAAGCTTTGAGTGGTAATTGTCAGCCAGACTTTGTTTTTTCCTGTTGCCTAATTAAAGACACTGAAAAGCTGTTCTCTCCTCCTGCTGCCTTGTTCTGGGGCAGCAAACTGAATTCTGCAATGATGTAAAGACAAAAGTAGGCTATGGTCCAGGAACAGATCCACCGGATCTAATAAGCTGTTGCATCGTCACCTTTGGGAGAAAACCACATGTGTGTGCATGCACGTGTGGAAACGCCCTACACTTGAATGGTAGCGCTGGGAGGGACCTGAGCGAGTGTCTGGCTCAGGCCCCTCCCGTCACGCAGGCATGGGCGTGCACACACTCTGTGCAGTGTCATTTCCCCTGGCCGGCCTCGGCAGGCCCATGCTCGCCCAACAGGACTGGAACACCACCATAGCACAGGCTGTGAGGAGGCTCAGCCATGGCCTTCTGCAGCTTTGATCTTGGTGCTGCTGTGTGAACTGGGCTGACCGGAGGCCTGGGCTCAGGGGCATCAGTCAAGTTCACCCTGAAGTGACTGTGTCCAAGTGAGCACTTAGTGCCCGCCCCTCTTTGCCATTACCAACAGGGACAAGAGGACCTACCCCCCCACCCCGCTTTCTTCCAGGCAGGTTGCTCAAGGGAAACCTTTGGGGGACAAATGGCTGTTGTTTATTGGCTTCATTATTGGTGCTAATGGTGCATGTGTAACGGGTGAAATCTTTTCCAGGAAACAAAAGGCTTGTATGTAGGAAAATTTTATATTGGGTCTGCTTTATGGTAGGGGTTTCTTCTTCTACTGGGGGAAATATGACAGGATATTCTGAGCGTGCCTTATATTTGGGAGCATGAAGTAAAGATGCTTCATTTCCAAGGTGTAAGCATGTCTCATCCTGTTGATGTTTGGAATACTTCCTTTGCCAGGAAATGTTACTAGATTCGGGTAGGACTTGTTCTGAGGGACAGTTGGCTTTCCATTAAATAATTTGTCAAGGCATGAAAGCCACTGTCCCCAGGTCTGCAGACTAGTGGGAAGCCCAAAAGACACAGACAGCCTCAAGTCTGGGTTCGTGGGTGCTCCTGCCTCACGCAAATAAACCACCCACCCAGGCCAGAAGTAGGATACAGGTGGAGGCAGGATCTTAGGACCAGGGCCAAAAAATAAATCCCCTTTGGTCATCAGAGGATGTGGGAATGCCCAACCAATCAGGAGCCACTCTGCTGGCCTGTTGTCAGTATGCCACCTTACTTCCCATCAAATTGGTGCAAGGGAGGCTGGGAGGCCAGACCCTCCTACAGCTGTGTTGCCTCCCAAACCTTGGTTCCCTTCTTGCATTTTGAGGCAGCAGCTTTGGTGATGGCCCTCTCCAACTATTAGGCTTCAACTGAACAAAGTAGCTGTTTCCTACAAAATAAATGTAATAACAGAACCGATAACCATCCATAATGTACTCAAGACTTTTCAGCCATACTGGGCCTTCAAGCAGCAGCACCAGGTTTCTGAGGCTTTCATCGAGGCCTTGTTTTGCAGCTGCTATCTCAGCTGCTCCAGTGTCACATGGTAACCTAGTTCAGAGACCAAGTCATCCCGAGCAGTCGTCCTGGCTCATCCATTATTTTGGCTTCTAGCCTGTTACCTTTGTGTATTGATGAAAATAGACAAAATAAGATCTCGGAGTTTAAAGGTGTCTACATGAGTGTTTCCTAAAGCAAAAATTGAAAGGGAAGCCAGTCAGGTCTGCCCCTGGAGGGCAGAGGCGGCTTGGCCAAGCGGGGAGCCCCCCAGGCACTGCAGCGCAACTGGTGGTTTTCGGTACTAGTCATGGAGCCCTGGGTGAAGTGCTGTTTCTGTGGTTCAGGTAGCAGAATGACACAAGTGGAGCTAAAAGCAGCTCAGCTTGGATGGTGGTGACATCTGGTGTTGCTGTTAACCCTGGGGCAAGTGGTAGGTCCCCGAGATATGTTCATCTTCTGGGTCTCAATGACGGATTCTAACCAGGAGCTAGCAGCTGCCACTGGGGAAAGAGGTTTCAGCTCTCTCTGCCCCGAAGCTCAAAGCCAAGGGTTCCCACTGTGGCAGTGGGGACATCAGCACGGCCCAAAACTGCTTTCCCAGAGGGCTCCATTCAAAGGGAAAAGTGCCTTTTTTTTTTTTTCTGCAGCCACTTTCCATTTCTGTGCATTTTCTCGTTTTGGTCCAATGACCTCCTATACTTTAGATTCTGCTAAATGAGTGACAACCCAATGAGCCCCCTACTTCAGCACCTCTGGGGGTAAATGGCTTGCAAAACGCTTGTGGTACAGGGAGACTTTTGACTCCACCCTTTTCCAACAATTTAAATCCAGGAAAAATCCCCACCCGTCTATTCAGTTAGGAGTGGTTTTGAGGCGTGGCTGCCACCTCGTGGCAAAAATCCTTACAGCCATGCCCAGCACAAAGGCAGCCGGCAGCTTGGCAAACCTGACAGCTGCTCTTTCAGCCTGCTTGTTATATACTGCTCAGTCCTTATTTCCTGGGGAAACGGTGACAGAGCAAATGTTGGCCTTCAAATTGAGAATTCAAGATAGAGATTTTCCAATATCACTCAGCAAACAAGAACTTCACCATTTGCTTCTCCTATAGTCATTTTAAAGGGAAATTTGCCCTCCCTTCAGTTAAATCCCCACAAAAAATACAAAAGGAACTCATAAGGCATGGCATATAAGCATTGACTATAAAGTGAATGGGATGTAAATTTCTTTTCTGTCTTACACCCAGGATGATAAAATAGGCTTAGAATTACTTGCCAGGTATACTGTTTTGCATTGTTTTGTTTTTCTGAACAAGGACAAGGTACAGGGTTTGTTGTTCTTTCATTGATTTTTATTCTGTAACAAAAATCAGCAGGAATGGTAAAGCCAGGGACAAAAACTACAGGAGATTGGTTTCATGCTGGAAAGCCTCCAGCTTCCTTTTAGTGATTTAATTCTTGAGCGTTTTCCCAAGGTGTTGCGAGACCAAATGTTGATAGACTCGAGTGGTCCCACTCTCTGGGCTGCCTCCTAGATTTTGCATTATGGTTGTGAAGCTGGCAGGCTAGGCCCCAGCTTTTGTGGGCTCAGCACAGTATAGAGGCTGTGGGCTCATCTACTTTCTAAAAGCTGCCAGTCTCAAGAACAATCTGTGGGCTGCTTGCATCAGACATCTGTGGGGGGCCCTGGGCAGGTCCAGACCAGTGGGGCACCAGAGCAGCCTCTCTGGCTGGTCAGCCTGGAGAACACAGCCAATCAGATCGTTCCTGCAAAAACCCCTCCCCTCAAGCATGCCAGAGCAATCCCACCCTTCCACTTGGGCCATGGGTCATGCTTGATCTTTGGGTTCTCTTGAGAGGAAGTTTTACCAAGGAGCTGGGGGAGCCGATGGGGAAGGAAGGGGGGCCATGATTTCTCTTGGGCATGCTGGCCACTCAGCCTCCTTGGAATGAGCCCTTGAAGGGCTCCCAAGGAACCCTAATCAGTAAAGGAGCCACGGTACGGAAGGGATATGGTGTGACTACACTACTAGTGTCGTCCTCAACTCCAAGCACGTTCTCTGTGGCTGCAAAAGCACTGCTTGAACTCGGTCCCTCACTCCAGTCCCACCCACCCCCTTCCCACAGTGATTTAAAACGCGATTACCATCTGCATTTGCCCTCACGTCCCTGGCTACAGCCCAGCTGGCACCTGGTAGGTAACGATCTACTTGTCCTGGTCCCCTGGAGGCGCTGAGAGAACAGCAGGGTCTTACTGCAGGTGCAGGCCCAAGCTCTCATCCTCAGGACCTCAGCCTCTCGCCTAGAAGGAGCTTTCTGTTCACACAGCAGCCAGGGATGTTGGCATCTGCCTAAGCAGTTCTGTTCCTTTACGCAGGAGGGGGATTCATGTAAATAAGTAACTCGAGTCATTATTACATTTAACCAAAAGTTATATTATATATGAAGTAGGACGAACAGCAGGAAGCTAGTAAAAAGGGTCCGGCTTTCCTGATGCAAGGTTAAGCTGAAGATTTTAAATCTGCTCCCTCCTTTTCTGAAGAGTCCTCAAAAAGATATCTGCAAAAGTGCTAAGAAGGTTTAACACCACCTGATGAAATTAAGCTGTTTCTACCAGCTGTTTCGCCAGAAAGGGGGAAAAAATCATGCTATACATACACGGTGACTGTTTAAGTTCAAGGCCTGAATAATAGCAGAGATTGACATAGCCAAGCTGAAAACAACAGCAAGCTACTGAACATGTAGCTCTTATGTATACATATAAAAGTCAGGGGGATGGGAGAGCTCAGGAAGAATTCCGACCTTTGTTGTTTTTGAGGATAAACAGAAGTACGTGGAAAATCTTCTTTTTTCAAGAACCATTCAACAGCATCGTGCCTACCTGCCACCTCCTCCATGTGGCCTAGAAAGCCAGGTACCAACTCTGCCAGCCTCCTAGCGATGTAGGAGCAGCTGGAGGCAAACCAAAGACTAACTTCCATGGTCCCTCTCAGTGGTAACTCCTGTCCCTGCTCAAGTGTTCCATCCTCAACCGCAGTTGTCTTTTCCCTTCAAAAAGCAGGATGCTGGCGGCCATGGCCGAGTTCAGGCTATCCACACCAGGCACGACAGGGACCAGCAGCCTCTTGCCCCCCGTGCTCTCGGCCAGCTGCAGGGACTCCAGGCTCACACCGTGGGTCTCCCCTCCTATGACCACAGCCGCTGGTGCCTCTGTCCAATCCAAGTCATAACTCTGGACCTCAAGTTCAGGGAGCCAGCCTTTACTGGCTCCGGTGTCTAGATCTTCCTCCTCCTCTTCCTCATACTTGTGAAACTTTGAGAGCCGTCGGTCACACACCCAGCCATGGTCACTGGCTTTATTAGATGTCTGGGCCTGGGCATAAAGGCCACAGTTGTCCGCCACGTAGACCCGGGTATCGGTGGGCAAGTAGTTGGGCACTGCTTCCCAGTCCAGATTGTTGATGATGGGCACCTGGAAATGCGCACCCATACCTGCCCGCAGCACCTTGGGCTCCCAGGCATCCACACAGCCTAGAGAATAAAAGACAGGATCCAGTTAACACTGCAAACCTTCCTAGGTGAGGGGACTCGGGAGTACATCAGATTAGTTCTGGATCAGAAGATCAAGCCAAAAAAAAAAAAAAAAAGTCCTGTTGTAGCCATCCTGATAGCTGGCACCTCCGCCTTCCCTATGGCAGTGTCCAGCTAGGGGACTGTGGGAGGAAGTCCTGCCAGTGCTTAACACAGATTCTACTCATCCCGTCAACACTGACCATACATGTGCCAGACGCTGTACGGGAGACGCCAAGGGCATTCAAGTTCCTGGCCTCAAGGACCTCGTGATATAGAAGCAGCATGAGCAGGGTTACCAGCAAACCCTTGTACAAAGCAGGGCCCTGAGGAAAAACATCCCAGGGAGCGTGGCACTGGGCTGGATCTTCACGGATAGGAGGACCTTGTCAGAGAAAGGCCCAGGCACAGGACCAAGTTATAGAAGCAGGAAGAGTGTACAGTCCAAGAACTGTAAGTAAAGTGAATCGGGCCTACCGAGGGGTGGGCGTGTGATGGGCGAGGAGACGGGAGGCAGGCAAGGACCAACCTAAAGGAAGCTGGGGGTGCCGGGCTGAGGAGTTGAGGATTTTATCCAGAAGACAATATAATGCCATTGAGAGATTTTAAAGTAGTGACAGAATCTAGTTTATGATTTAGAAAGACCCATTTGGCTTCACTGTTGAACCTGGATTGGAGCAGGGAAGACACTAGAGATGGGGAAATGAGATTGGAGGCAATGAGAGTAATCCAGGGAGAACCAGGGCAACGGCCTTGTCACTGACACACACACCTGCCCTCACACCATGGTAAGAAGGCAACAAGAACTACTCTTTTCTGCAGAGGCATGTGCTAATCCCACCCACTTCCAGGCCTTTCCCCGGACTACAGGCTGGGAGAAACAGCAGGCAGAGGGCACCACATCTACCATCTCCTCATGACAAGTTATTTTTAAAAGCAGCCTAGACTCATGAGGAGAGCCATCTAGTGTGACCCCTCTAACTTGTGGGGAATACAGGTTACGATGAAATGTCCCCCTCATCCTTACGTCCTAGATACTGGACACCACACCAGGTGTTCCCTACTCTTTCCCTACCTCTTATACACAAGCCACCAGCATCACTGTGAAAACTACACTGCCCGGGTTATATAGGTACATGTCCAAAGCCACGCCTGCTCTCAGAGCTCTCAACCATGGGGCGGGTCAGCAGGTACTCGTGATGGGAGTCCAACACCTTCACGCTGGCAGAGAAATGCACTCCAACAAGGTGGGACTGAGGGAAGAGTTAAAAGGAGCAATTGAGGCAAGTCTCAGCAATGGGTGCCACTATTCGTTTACATTGAACGGTGGCTTGAGTGTTTCTGATGAATGAGCCTCTCCAAGTTGTAATAAGCATTTTAGGCATGTTCCAACTGTTAGGCAAGTCTGTTCAGAACTAAGCCTACTAATCCCCACTTCTGCTGAGAGGAGACAGAAAAGAGATGTAACGAGGCTCATTTGTGTGGGGGGCGTTTGACGCGTGGGGCTAAGGGAAAAGTATTACAGTTTCATAATCATACTGTTGACAGCATTCCTTTCACAGGATTCAAAATGTCAAGAGTTACAAAGGTCTCACATGCCCAACAACTTGGGAACTCAAGATCACTAAATAAAGGACTTGGAACCAACAGGCATCTATTTCTTACCCTGATGGTTTTTTTAAGTTCTTTCTTTAATAACCTAGCAGGTGTCAAAATAATTTTAAAAGCTAATCCACATTTACTGAATTACCGTGTGCCAGGCACGGTGCTAAGTAGTTTATGTGCATAATATCACTTAATCCTTAAAACAGCCCTACTGGGTAGATTCTATTATTATATCGACTTTACAGATGAGGAAACTGACACTTAGAATATTGTTCACAGACATACAGTGAGTAAAGGGCAAATCGAAGATTTAAATCCACGTGTCTGCCCATACAGCCAGCTCCCTTACAAATGGCCCAATCCACCCAGTCACATACGCTCTTACCTTTGGTGAGTAATACTTTGCTGCAGCCCGCCCCAGCAGCAGATCTCAGAATTGTCCCCAGGTTCCCAGGGTCACGGAGATTGTCACAAATCAATAATAAGGGCAGTGAGTGGTGAAGCTGAGTCTCTGGGTATGCCATCTTAACATGGTCAGGTTTGGCAAAAATCCCTGAGGAAACAAAACAAGTGGTTCACGTGTCTGATAGGGACATGGGGAATAATTTGACTTCTCATTTATTTATCACTTTCTGTATTCTTAATTACATAATACATGAATACATTCTGACTAAAAAAATTCAAACATAAAATACTATCAATGACCCCCCCCCACACCCCACCCCGCATAACTGTTTTCAATCTTGGAATGTATCCTTTCAGAACTTATTCTATGCATCTACCTACATATATACATCCACCTATATACAGGTGCTTTTTTTCTTTTACATAAAAAAGTCATACTCTAAAAAAAAAAAGTCATACTCTATTATTCTGTAATCTACTTATTTAACTCTATAACATATCTTGGAGAACCTACCATGTCAATACATTAGGAGCTACCTTATTCTTTTAACCTCTGCATGTTATTTTGTAATGTGAACATACCACATTTATTTAGCTCTTCCCCAACTAACTGATATTTAGATTATTTTCAATTTTCCCTATTATAAACAACCCTGCAATAAACATCCCTGTATGACTCTGTGCATATGTCCAAATATTTCCCCAGGGAAATGGATAGAGTGAAAGCCCTCTTAATGTTAACAGACACTGCCAAACTGCTATTCCAGTTTATGCACAAGAACACATAACTACCTGTACCTAGTCTATCAATGAAGGCAGTGGAATAGTATCAGGCACCTGTGTGCTGTCAAAAGAGCCTGCATTTAAGAGTCACAGATAACCACATTTAAGAGTCACATTTAAGAGCATTCAGTGGGGCAGGAAACCTTGAAGTCCTTTAACTTTTACAGCTGCAGTGATGACAGAGGCCCCACTTACATTACTGGATTACATTTAGAGATGTGCCTGAAGTCTGACAGGCAGTGCTAGATCTTATCTTTCTTTCTTTTTACCCCCTTCCCCCTACTCAAATCTGAAATAAAACATAAAGATAAGCTAAATAATATATTTAAAAGCCATGAAATGATGAAAGCAGTCATGATAAAGGGGCTACAGAAGTGCAGGGTGGGCTGGCCAATGTTAGCACATATGCCCAAAGTGGCAAGTATGATGAAAACGAATGATAGCTGTAGCATGGAGCAGGGATTAGAGAGGTGTAGCTAATGAGAATAGTTACTTAGAATGAGTGGAAAACTTCAGTAGTCCATGTCCCCACCCTAGGGTGAGTTCTGAGCACAGGTGCACAGATCTCTGTCACTTGCTGAGTTACAGAAACAAGAGATGGTCCCCAGAATTTTCTCTCCCAACTAGTAGCTGCACTGTGAGCTCATTACAGGAAATACAAATGGATAACTGGTATGAGAGGCCCTGGCCTAAACATTAAAACTTGAAAATAACCCTCCACTCCCCCCACCCCACCCCAACTGTCCCTTACCATCCAAGGGAAACCTCTATACTTAACTGCCATTCAATTCTCAGATCTTAATTGTAACTCCAATGTCAAAAAGGTATAAAGAATTTAGTCTTTCCATAGTTAGAAAAACCTTTCTAAGTGGTAATCGACATCACTGTTACATAAAACCTTAAGTTAGATTCAACCAAATGAAGACAAGGTTTCCTGTTCAATGGCTAAACAGGGCAATAAATTTTAGCTTACTGCTGAGACCTGCTTCTAGAATAAGAGTCATAATGTTTATCACCACACTAGCATAGGTTTTGGAAATGGAGGGCTAACATTTTGGTAAACATTTTCTTAATTTTTAGTTAAACATTAAAGGTTGAAGAAATGACCTAAAAACATAAGGTCTGAGGAACAGTGGTTATTCCTAGAGACTATAGAGCCATAATACAAATGACCAAAACCTGGCTTGTTTCCACTAAAAATACTACATAACGTGCACAGATTTGAGAACTTTATTTTTCTGGGTGTCTAGAAAACGTTTAGAAAGCAATAACATTTTGAATTTGGTTTAAATAAAATTTGTTGGCCTAACACAAGTACAAACAAATAACTCGAGGTCTCTACTTCTAGTGACACTGTAAAACCACTGACCCATTATTCCTTGTGGTGTTACTAGGTCGGACCAATCCTTGATATCCTCAAATTTCACCTTAATGAGGCTGACACCTTTCAGCTTATCAAGGGGCAGCTCCTTTATGTATTCCAGACGACTAAAGAAGAACACTTTGGGCACAGCGCCAGCTTTGAGAGCATCTGCAATCAGCCTGCGACCTTCCAGCAGGATCTTCCCTTGCTTTTCCCGAAATGGCCGGGACTTAACTATTGTCATTACACTGCTGTGGATGGAAACACAAAGACGAGTAATTATCAACATTCTTGTAACGGAGGCACCTAGTTCTAACAGACATAAAGAGCTTCAGAGACAGACGCAAACCGATTCTGGGGAAGATACTAATTCTGTCCTCCGTGCATAATAACCAGCGGGAGGTATTGGAAGTAGTAGTCCAACTGGAGGAAAGAAGTTAAGGTCCCGCTGTGAGGCGGGAAGAGAAATGGGAATACCCGACAAATGTCAGGAACACATCACCTGAGCCTTTTGTCCCCGGGTAAAGCTTTATCGTAGCGAAGCCCTGACTCTTCCCAGGTGCTGGGCGCCTGAGATGGGGGCACCTGAAGCGGCTGCTTCGGTCGCTGCACATGGGGACTGGCCTGAGCCGCCGCCTTCCCGGGCTGCTTCCCAGCACCGGGCTTCCGATCCACCACCTGTCCGGATGGAAACACTTTCACCGGGCTCCGCCGCAGCGCTCGGACCCAGCGCCGCGCATCGAAGTCCCAAGTCTGGACCACCGGCACCAGGAGTCGTGCAGGCCACCCCACGCGCTTCACCAGCGCCGCCATCTTCCCCCGCGCCGTGGGTTGCGTCACGAAAGCGCGCCGGCGACAACCAGTGACGTCACCGGTCCGTATGTGTCATCTGTGGGCGGTGCGGCGCTGTGCGGGAGACGGGTGTGTGTTGCTTGGTCATGGCGACTCGCCGAGCTCTGCACTTCGTTTTCAAAGTGGGAAACCGCTTCCAGACGGCACGTTTCTATCGTGATGTCCTAGGGATGAAGGTGCAGATGGGGCCGAGAGGCGCTGGCGCGCGAGGGTGGCACGGGCAGCTGAGCCGCACCTGGCCGAGGGAAGGGGGAAATGGGTTTGTCATCGATCTCAGCCAGAACCTGAGTGTCGGACCTTAGCCCCGGACTCCCCATTAGCCCTGATTGGTTTTCAGAGACGATGCGAGTCGCTGGTTGGGTTAGGACGGGAATGAATTTATTTAAATACATTCATACATATGTATTGAGTAACTGCCCTTGTGGAGCTTCCAGTCTAGTGGGAAAGACAGTAAACAAGCAGAAAGTTGTATTATACTCTTCCAATGACTAATAACTCAGTCTCTTCCGGTTTTGGAGCCCTTCGGTTTAGATAACATATTGAGAGCTCTGTTTCTCTCAGGGATGATTTGTTTGAATGGTCTCTTTTGGATGCTCAATTTGGTTGAATGCTCCGACTCTCCTGCCTGCAGTAGAGAACTAAATGTGAAGTCAGAGCCCATTCTCCTCTTCCACACCCAGAAGTGGCCTCTCTTCAGCGCTGAGTAGCTATGATTCTGCAGGGGTCACCTGGGTGACAAATAGGTGGAAGCTATTGGGGAGCTCCTGATAAGTAAGCAAGGGTGCAAATTAATGTAGAGATGGTGCAGAAGACGGGTGCAAAGGGAGTTGCCTTTATTCGTCAGTCGTTTAAAAAGCATACTGTGTGTGTGTTTCATAGTACTGTGTTGAGTTTTAGTGACAAAAATGAAAATGACCCTGTATGTCTGTCCTCAGTGTTCGCTTCTGGCCTGGGATGGGGTGGGAGTGAGAATTGGATTTGTACATAGCTAACAGTAATGGAAGTCAAAATTTGATAAGAGGTAGAAAACCACAAAGCTCTCCCTTAATGTGTTTCCTCATTGATCAAAGGGTTATTGTGAAGATTAAACTCATTATTATATGTGTGATGTTTGACACATCATATGTATTATATAAATGTTAGCTACTGTTATCAAAATACAACAGAAGAAGAGATTTAACTCTAACCTGGGTGGTCAAGAAGTAATTCAGGAAGACCTTGCATTTTAGTTGACCTCTAAAAATAGGATTTCCACAGATCAAGATTGGAGGGAGTAGTATACTAGAAAAACTGAATAGTCAATGCAAAGATAAGGTATGTATGGGAAACACCACTAGTTTTTGTGTGCCTTTAGCTTAGATTACTTAGTTGAAGTTGAGGAAATGGGATATCAGGACAAATAGATTGGGCCTGTTTCTGATAATATCTTGAATTCTATGCTAAGGAATTTAGGTTTTTATGCCACAGTAAGTAGGAAGTTCCCTTACATTTTAGAACAGGGCAATGATGTGATCAGAGCTGTGCTTTAGGGACATAATTTTATGGCGGTGTCAACGAAAGAAACATCCAAACCTGTAGAGAATTTTTATAAGTTTACTTGAACCAAACTGACAACATTGCCAGGAAGCAAGATCACAAATGCTCCAAAGAATGAGTTTTGCAGTTTCTTTCATACATTTAGAATAAAGGAGGGAACATAGGAAGATTACGTGAAGGAGGGAGACAGCGAGATGGGGATTAGATTAAAGGAGAGTTAGCAAGAGTATGTGCTCTCTTGAGGGTGATTATGCTTCTGAGGGGTTGGAAAAAGAGGCATATCAAATGTGTGTTAACCTAGATGCACAGAAACAATGGACAGGCAAAGATAAACCTTTTACTAAAGAAGTGATATGCTTGGGGCAAGGCTACCCATCTTCCCAGTTAGGAATTTATGATCAGATCACCAGTGACTGAGGTTACTTTCAGTCACTGGACTTTATTATAGAGCCCCTTTTTCATCCATAGTGGTATTAAGGAAGGAGGTCAAGAAAGATGAGTATTAATAGTCTGTGAGAGGGCCGGCCCAGTGGCGCGATGATTAAGAGCTGGCTTGGGATGCCACAGGGCCCCGGTTCGGATCCCACATATGAGGGCCGGTGACACTGCCCTCCACAGCTAAGATGCTGAACAACAGCTCAACCTGGAGCTGGGCTGCTGTGAGTCGCCTGTGACGGCGTAGGCTGCAGCCCCTGTGGCAGTGGGTTGCCATGGGCTACCGTGTGTAGCCAGCAGCCAGCGTGAGCGGCCGTCCAGAAGCCAGCGACTGATCTGCCTCGCCCAGAAAGAGCTCAATGATGTTACCAACTTGGGCCAGTGAAGCAACGTCCTCCACAACTAGACTGAAGAACAAAAGGACAGCAACTTGTGTGTTCCCCTTCCCCCAATTCCCCAGCACTGTTCCCATCCCCCAGTTCCCCAATAAAAATCTTAAAAAAAAAAAATAGTCTGTGAGAGAAGTGATGGGAGCTTGAACTGCAGCAGTAGAAGTGGGAATAAAAAGAAAATAGAAACTAACACATTGAGAGCCTACTATGTACCAGGTTCTGTGTCAAATGCTTTAATAAATTAATATTAGGAAACTCAGACCCTAAGCAACTGTCTCAGAGTTACACAACTACTAACAGCCAGAGTTCTAAAACAGACTAATGCTGAAGGCCATATTTTTGTGACTACGCAGCATTGCTTCTCAATCTAAATAGATTTTACAACTTTGCTTGGTGTCAAGGTGTTCTTTCTCACTTTTACTACTTCTAGACTGGGAAAGATATAAAACTTATTATCTTTTGTTTGTTTTACAAGTACAGCTTATAAATGATAATGTTGACAGTTTTTGTGAAATAAGCTGTGTGCAGTAGTAGTAAAACTTTACAGTTTATTCTAATTCCCTTATCAGATCCTGCGGCATGAAGAATTTGAAGAAGGCTGCAAGGCTGCCTGTAATGGGTATGACACCTTGTTTCTTAATATCTCCTTTAGACTCTTAATACCCCTGGAGATTAATGCATCTTATCGAGTTTTTTGTTTGTTTTTGTTGTTTTAGTTTCAGGTGTACAAAACAAGTAATAGTTAGACATTTCACCCCTGACAAAGTGATAACCCCTGTTCCTCAATGTATCGAGTATCTCTTTAAGCTTAGAAGTCATGGCAAGCTGGAAAATTTCAAGGCCTCTTGGGGATTGGATGCTTGTTGATGGATATGCAAAAAAATAAATTAAGGCCAGCTTGGAGGACGGCATTTATAGGATTCTGTCCCCTACTTTAAAGAAAAGATAAAGGAATCTTTCCCTTAAGGAACTGCCAAACAAATGGTCTTTGGAGCCTTTGGTGATGGGGCCCATGAGCACTGTGCACAACTGCTGTTAGCACCAGCTGATGTCATCTCATCCTTATAGGTTCTTAGAGGACCAGAAGGGACTGCTCACCTCTCTGTCCCAATAGTTCTTTGGGGGAGGCCTGCCTAAGGCAAATTTTTTTGTGGTTACTGGATTAATTTACTTTCATTTTTCTAGGCCTTATGATGGGAAATGGAGTAAAACAATGGTGGGATTTGGACCTGAGGATGATCATTTTGTTGCAGAGCTGACTTACAATTATGGCATCGGAGACTACAAGCTTGGCAATGACTTCATGGTAAATACCATTTTGTTCCAGCAGATTTTTGGCTGTTCCTTTTATTGAGGTCACTGATACAGCTTTAGGTATCAGTGATGATGACTGCTGAATTGATGGCTTTTGGGTGCAGTTTAGTAATGAGTTTTGTGATATTTTCTATTTAAAACAAAACAAAAATGCTTGGGTAGCCTGTCTCAGAGCTGGATTCAGAATGAAATGTGTTCTCCCAATATTTAGGAATCAACCCCAAGACTTAGAGACAGCTTTGAAGGAGACAAGACACCTCTAGGGGAATGACTGAGAGGTAAAGTGCCAGAGTCATATTGGTCTGGTCAGGCCCTGATCACCAATGGAGAAATATTTTCTCTCTAGTGGACTATTACAGCCAATCCTAGTCAGAGAAAAATCTGAGAAGATTTTTAAGGATAAAAAGAAGAACGTATTCATTCATTCACGCACTCAATAAGTTATGCACTTATTATAGTAATAGCACCAACCATTTACTGAGCAGTTACTATGTGCTAGATAGACTGTCACTGGGACCAAGTACATAGCAAGATAGGAGTAACTAATTTTTGCCCAGAATCTACTTAGCAAATCTACCTCATGCTAGATGTGATTTTGGTCATTTGATCTCACTATTCCTGTTAACTCATGTTAAAATAATACCTAGATGCAAGTTTTTATGAGGATCAAATATCTATAAAAGCATTTTGTAAATGGAAAGGGCTATTCAGATTTCACATATTCATATATTTGTTTTTCTTTCTTTTCATGTCTCTCACTAATTTATTCATTTAACAGATACTAATTGTGAATTACTATATGCCACATACATTGTTAGGTTCTGGGGATAGAATAAAGAGTAAAGCATGCTCTCTGGCCTAGGAGCTCCCTGTCTGGTGGGGGAACAAATAAATATACAAGAATACAATGTGATAAGTGCTAAGATTGGGATAAGGACAGAGGGATGTGGGAACACCTGGGAGGAATTCCCAGCCTATTCCCGGAGAGCTAAGAGTTCAGGGAAAGCTTCCCAGAAGTGACATCTGAGCCAGGGGAGTAAGGTTGGGTGGAGGGTGAGAGGAGAATCTTCAGCATGGTCACAGGCCCGGAGATGGGAGGGACCATGGCACTTAGAACTGTGATAGCACAGTCCAGCTGGAGCTTAGTGCGTGAAGAAGGGAGTGGGTAGAGTTGAGGCTGGAGAAGTAAGCTGGGGCCACATCATATTCAGATGCTTAGACTTTATTCTAGAAGCAGAGTGAAGCCATTATTAAGCAGAGGAATGGCATGGTATTTGTGTGCAAGAATCCACCTGTTTAGAGCATGGAGATTGGATTGGGAGGGAGTAAGACAGGAAGTGAGGAAACGCACTCACAGGATAGTACAGTAAGTGACCAGCAGCTCCTTCAGTAACATGGTAGTTATGGGAGATAGAAGTGAATGGATATGAGAGATGTTTAGGAGGTAGAGTTGGTATGGTTTGGTGATTGAATGTATGTGAGAGTTTGTGTTTCTCCTTCCCTTTTCTTTACTTTCCAAATTTAAATCAGGGAGAAAAAAGAGCCAAACCATTTTGCTGCCATCAGCATTTAATTGGCTCAAGTCAAATGTTGATTGGTGGTACTGCAGAGGCTAGAGGTCAGATAGGTGGAGAACAACTTAACTGCTCCACCATGGGTCTTCCTGAGAGACTTTGGTAGTATAATATCCCTGATGAAAGGTACCTTCGATGCTTTTCAGTTCATGGAACAAAAAGAAAAACAGGTTAAACAGAACTCCCATATATACAGAGAGTGCCAAAAAGGTGCATACACATTTTAAGAAAGGAAGAAACTGTGTTAAAATTATAACACTCAATTTGTACCGAAGTAGGGCCGGCCGAGTAACTTGGTTTGGTTAAGAGCGTGAGCTCTGAGCAACAGGGTCGCCAGTTCGATTCCCACAAGGGCCAGTGTGCTGCGCCCAAGCTGAGCTGTCACTGAGCTGCCAACAGGTGACAGGATGGCTCAGCTAAAAAGAAAATAGCCCAAAATGATCTCATTATATATCTGAGTGGGCCCTTGGTATCCTCTAATTAGCAATACTGAGGTGCACACCTTTGTGTGCACAGGATGTCAAAGTGGCCAATTGAAATGTGCCAATTACAGATGATAGAGACCAATATTTCTGATAGTTTCACCAAATTAAAATGCCTGAGTTTGTTGAAGGGTTTATTTTTCATTTATTTTAATTTTTTTTGTAGTTTATTTTACTTGTTATTTCTATTAGAATGTGAAAGGTGTATTTTCTGACAAAGCATCATAATGTTTCCAGGAAGTAAACACACTCTCTGTATTTTAACAAGCTATTGTTTCCTGGTTACATTGTTATAAAGGAAGGACAAACCTCTACATTCGCTCATGTATTTACTTATAAATGGATCAGCAAGAACTCAAAGAAAGATTTCCCTAAAGTTATAATTCCACTGGAAGTAATATCAGTCTTGTTATTTAGATCTTAATATTTTTTTGATCTAGCTTGAAAAAATATGTAGTTTCCATTATGAAAACATTTCCAATTATAGCCCAAATTTACCTGACTGTCCAGGACTTCCTAAAGCTTTCAAAGCACATTATATAAAGTCTATAAAATAAAAATTTTATGTGATTCCTTTCCAAAAAAACACTAGACAAAAAAATTTTTTTTGGGGGGAGGGGAACAGCCAAGTTGTTGTCCTTCAATCTTAGTTGTGGAGGGCACAACCAGCTCAGCTGCAAACCCAGTCACTATCCTGCCTCCCATCGGCAGCTCTCAGGCCACTCAATTCAAAGTGCCGTGTTCAATCTTAGTTGCGGGTGGGGTCATAGCCCACCATCCCATGCGGGAGTCGAACCACGTGCTCTCACCAGCTGAGCCATCCTGCCACCTGTTGGCAGCTCAGCTTGGAGCACAGCATTACTGGCCCATGTGGTAATTGAACCGGTGACCCTGTTGCTCAGAGCTCGTGCTCTTAACCAACTGAGCCACTTGGCTGGCCACTCGATGAAAATTTTAAGTGCCAGTGAAATCTTAGGTGATATGATGTAAAGGCAACGGGATTTGCTTCATTATCTTGTTCCATAAAAGGTCTGTTGTGATTACACACTTGGATGATGATGTTGTTTGTCACAGGGTATAACACTCGCTTCCAGCCAGGCTGTCAGCAATGCCAGGAAGCTAGAGTGGCCACTCCGTGAAGTTGCAGAAGGCATTTTTGAAACCGAGGCTCCGGGAGGATATAAGTTCTATCTGCAGAATCGCAGCCCACCTCAGTCAGGTAATTATACTAATAAAAGCCCTCTTTCTAAAGGCATCTCTGATGGAAGGTGAGATGGAACTGGATTTCTTTCTCCTGTGGAGTCTTTCTATACTGGCATAACATGTCTTTCCTAAGCCAGTGTTGTTATGTGTTTTCTGAGAAATTATATTCTCGTATTAGAACTTTAAAGGGGATCGAGATTGGTTCTGTTCTACTGGTAATGTAGCTATTTAGGATACTTTCAGTTACAAATAACAGGAAACCCAATTCAAACTAGCTTGAGCAATACAGCAAGTTTTTAGCTCACAGGGCAGGTATTCTGTAGGTAGGAAAGATTTCAGGGTATGTTGATTCAGCAGCTCAGCAATGGCGTCCAGAACCCCTATTTTCTCTCTCTCTCCATTCTCTTGTCCTATGAGTTCACTTCTAGAGCTGGTTTCCCTCATGGTTGTAGGGTGACTGCCAGTAGCAGTGGGGACTGCATGCTTGCACATTCTCTTCTGGTAGGAGAGGGAGACCAACTTCCTGCTGCTCTTGTTTAAGAGCAGAGCAAAACTTTGCTGGAATCTTCCAGCAAACTTCCTGGTCAGTTTTGATTTCACATGCCTGCTCCTTCGCCAGTCACTGGCAAGAGAAATAGGATTAACCTCACACCAGTTAGTCCCGTCCCTCCATCCTTGGTCAGTTTCCCAAACTATAGTGCTGATGCTCAGTGAGGGAGGGAGGGGTGGAACGGAGAGGTCCGCTACACTGACTGCCCCAGGGAGCAGCAAAAAAGCTGCACAACATGTTTCGTTTACAGCAGAGGCAGCCTCCTGATACACGTTATGTGTATTTAATTCCTGCAAATTCTGATACCTGCTCTGCCAAAAGAAAGAAAATAATACTGGTAAATAGCAAGGGCAATTCTGCTTGCCATTTCACTCAGGGAGTACGTGCCCCTACGTGGACCCGAGATGGGAGGCGGGTTTCTCTTTCCTCCACGGGTCTACCTCGAGTCCCAGGTGCCCCTCACACTGATTGCTATGGTGAATGCTACTTGCTTTTCATCCGGAGATCAGCAAAAGAAAGAGCGATTTGTTCCAGTGTGGGAGGTCAGACTGGCGCTGTGAGACTTACTGAGAGATAGTACTTCTGTATTTCACTAGTGAATTAAGGGATTTTTATGATGACTTTTATTGATAGATGACTGTGGATTTGTATACTAACTTTAAAACTTAACTCCTGGGCCGGCCAAGTGGCTCGTTAAGAGTTGGCTTGGGAGCGCAAGCTCTGAGCAGCAGGGTCCTGGTTCGGATTCCATATGGGCCAGTGACGCTGCATCCTCTACAGCTAAGATGGTGACCAACAGCTCAACCTGGAGCTGGGTTTCCATGAGTTGCCAGCGACGGCTGCAGTGGGGCTGCAGTGGGCTGCCGTAAGCTACCGTGAGTGGCCGGCAGCCGGTGTGAGCAGCCAGCCGTCCAGTGGCCGGCGACCAATCTGCCTCAGCCGGGAAGAGCACAATGATCACAATACCAACATGGGCCAGTGAAGCAACATACAAAAGGACAGCAACTTGTCTGTTCCCCTTCCCCAGTGCTGTTCCCCTCCCCCTATTCCCCAATAAAAAATCTTTTAAAAAGTTAACTCCTGCCACTAATTCTACTGTACATTTTTTTCCTTATGTTGGTATAAATGGAGAGCCCCAAAATCCTAAGACGTTTTTGTCCTTCGGAATGATAATACATAGAGGCATGAATTTCCGATTGGTAATATATTCAAGTCTGTCGGTCTAGCTGGTGTCCATCCTTCCTTTGACTCACTCACTTATGTGTAGCTCCATCCACTTGTTATCATTCCTGCCCCTGCATGCTTTCCAAGTCAGCTGGGATTTGTTGATCTCTCAATGAACAGGGAAAGCTAAAACAGTCTGTCAGATAGAGGAACGAACCTGTGAGAAACGCCTTACCTTAGGCATAGTATTGCTAGAAATGGAAGAAAAATGTATCGAATTTATCATAGTTACATGTAGACTTGGAACAGCTCTTCAGAAAGTCACTTTACAATGTAAAAGTTTCCAACAATGTTAAGTGTTTTCATATAACTTTTATTTTTACAAAAAATCGTTTTTTTACCTAGACAGTTAAGCCAAAAAAGAAAGAAAAAGAAAACAGTACCCGTATATCTAGAGATAACCATTGTTAACATTATCAAGTATATCTTTCCAATATATATACATTTTTTCAGATTCCATTGTGTTACATCGTAGGAAGATAAACAATTCTCTGTTGTTGGATATTTATGTTGTCGCCAATGTTTCATTGTTATAAGCAACGCTGTGATGAATGTCTGTGAAGAAAGCCCTTCATACATCCACAATTACTTCTTTAATTGCTGAAAATGGGATTGCTCTTTCAAAAGCAGTGTGCATTTTCTAGGCTTTTGATATATTCTGTCAAATTGTTGCCAAAAAATGAACTAATTTACACTCTACCAGTGTTAATATTATATGATTGTGATTTCCCCCTGCACTATCACAGTCAGCACTGTGAACTTTGTAAATTACTTGCCAATTAGATAACAAAATGTTTTATTTGATTATTTGTGAGGTTGAATGTTTTTCATGTGTGCATTGAACATTCCAGTTTTTCTTTTGTATATTCCTGCTCTGTGCCTTTTGCCTGTTTTTCTAGAATGTTCATCTTTTTCCTATTAATGTTTAAAAGTGATTTAAATATTAAGGACTTTGTGTCATTTATGTTGCAAAAAATGTTTCTTACTTTGTTGTTTACTCTTTAATTTTTATTGTAATTCTTTTTTTGTTTTTTGTTGTCTAGGAGTTTTCCATTTCATGTAATTAACCTAACAATTTTTACTCATGGTTTTTGTATCATTTGTCAGGTTAAAAAAAAAAAATCTCCACCCCAAAATTGTATAATCACCTGTTTCAAGTAGTTTTATGGTTTCATACTTTAGACCTAATCCTTTAATCCATCAGGAATGTGTTTTGCCATTTAGCTTAAAGGTGTAACTTTTTCTCACCAAGTGAGACCCCAGTTATCTTAGTGACATTTATTAAACAATGTGTTCTTTCGTACTGACTTAATATCCCTTTCTTATCATAAACTAAATTCTTGACTATACTTGAGTCTGTTTTGGTCTTTCTGTTCTATTCCATTGCACTGACCTATCCATTCCTGCTGTTTTATTACCCTACAGATCCTGTATTAAAAGTAACTCTAGCAGTATCTGATCTTCAGAAGTCCTTGGACTACTGGTCTAATCTCCTGGGAATGAAAATTTACGAAAAAGATGAAGAGAAGCAAAGGGCTTTGCTGGGCTATGCTGATAACCAGGTGAGTTATCTTGGAGAGAAATAATCTGTTACTTTGAGTTCGGCTTGTAAATGAGGTTAATATGAAGGTTATCTCCATAGTTTCTGCACACTGATTCAATATTTACACAGATAAACAAAGGCAAAAATAAAAATTGCTGATAACCTCACCACTCAGATGTTACCTTTGTTTAGATTTGAGGATATATCCTTTCAGAAGTGGAATTGCTGAGTCAGAAGAGACATAGATAAGATTTAATGCTGTAATGATCCTGTATCTTCACCTTTTTCTTTTTTTAACTAACCTGGCATTTGAGCATGATTTTAGTCCTTGCATTTTGACCCAGCAGGTCTATTCCCAGGACTTTATTTTATAGATATACTCATCATACATGTTCACAAAGAATGGTGTACAAGGTTATCTGTTGCAGCATTGTTTGGAATAGTAAAATATAAGAAATAATCTAAGGATTAGAGGAATAGTTCAATCATTTCTAGTTCATCTGTAGAATGGATTACTATGTAGCTATCAAAAATAATGCGGTGAGTCTTTACATGCTGATATGGTAACATTAATTGAAGTTAAACAAGACACAGAATTTGTAAATTGTGCTACCATTTGGGTAAAAAAGATATGTGCATGCTACGTGTCTAGAAGGGTACACAGGAAACTGCTGACTGGTTGCCCCTGGGGGTAGAGCAGGAGGACAACTTCGTTTTTACTTTATTCCTTTAGTACTCTTTGAATTTTGTTTTTACCACATAACCTGTTCCAAAAAATAAACCCACTTCCTTATTTCTTTTCAGTGTAAGCTGGAACTGCAGGGCATCAAGGGTGCAGTTGATCATGCAGCAGCTTTTGGAAGAATTGCCTTTTCTTGCCCCAAAAAAGAGGTAATGTTTGGTACCAGATCTATTGTATAAGCTCTGTGACTACCTAGTGCGACCGCTAAGAACCTTGGGCCTCCCTTCTTCATTCTGAATATGACTTTGGTATCAAGTTCAACAGTTGTCTCAAGGGCAACTGAGATAATAAAATCAAACAAATGATGTCTGGGTTCTTTCTGGTTGATCCGATACTCCTCGAGGGCTGATGAGGACCACGGCATAAGAGTGGTACATGGCCCACTTTTCATTTTTGTTTTCCTCAAGTTGCCAGACTTAGAAGATGTGATGAAAAGGAAGAACCAGAAGATTCTGACTCCCCTGGTGAGCCTGGATACGCCAGGGAAAGCGACAGTCCAAGTGGTCATTCTGGCCGACCCTGTAAGTATGACTCAGGAAGGGACAGGCTGCACCACGGGTTTCCTCTGAGGTGTCTTTTTGCTAAATTTCTCTTGTCTTTATTGGCGTAGGATGGACATGAAATTTGCTTTGTGGGGGATGAAGCATTTCGAGAGCTTTCTAAGATGGATCCAAAGGGAAGCAAATTGTTGGATGACGTGAGTCTTGTTTCTAAATTTCTATCACCATGGGCCCAAGGAGGGGGGGGGTGTTACGTGTGAATGCGGAAGGGCCACAGCAACAGGGACCAGGTCTTACTATTAGAACCACGTCCTTTTGCTGTCGAGGTGCGTTTTGAGCCAGGGACTTGTGTCTTCATTGCCACCTATATGGCTCTTATCCGGGCACAGCATTTGCGCCTCTCACTACCTCAGGCTGCCTTGAGGAACCACCGCTGCTGTGCGCGTCATTATTCTGCTCTGGGAGTGGAGTGCCTGGGTCCCATCCCCTCTCACTTACTCAGCTCTTTCGGTCATCTGTTCTCCATTCTAGAGCATCATTTTCTTCCTGTCTAGTGACTTGTTCTCAATAGCAAACAAGCTCCAGTATCTTCCAGCTTTGAAAAACCTTTTATTTACCCCATATTTACCCTTCTCCAGATTTCTTTTTTAACAATCTGCCTACACACTGTTCCTACCTCTTACTTCTCATTCACACTTCAGTCTCTTCTGCACTGCTTCCTGTCACTCAGTGACATGTTCATTTTAACTTCGTCAGTGACCTCCGTATTGCCAAACTCAGAAACTACTTTTCTATCCCCATCAAACTCAATCTTTCAGCAACATCCAAACACCTGTTCATTGTTGTACCCCAGTTTCTGGCATATATCTGGTATGCAGTAGGCACTCAGTGAATACTCTGGTGATGATTAAAGGAATGAATCAAATCTATCCCACATCTGTCGTTTTATATCTATGTGACTGACCTTAAGCAATTTACTTAAGGTCTCTTAACTTCATTTTCTTATCCAGAAATTTGAGAAAATAAGATTATCTACCTGATAGGATCATTGTGTGCTTTATAGAGCTTGCCAAACTGCTGACATAATAACGCACACTCACTCAATTAATGTTCATTAAAGTAGGAAATGTGTAGAAAATATAGTGTTTATAAATTTTACCATAAAGGAAAACAGAATCTCAGGCAACCTCTCAGCTGGCACATGTGCTAGACTCTTTCCTTCTTGCTGTCTCATATCACTGGCCAACTCCTTCCTCTCTTTTCCGCTCTCTTCTCCTTTGGTGTTAGAGATCCTGCTTGCGTCACATCTCTTTGGCAGCTTCTCCTCTATCACACACTCTGTGTGTCTGATCCCAAAGTGATTTTATCCACAGTCCCACTTTGGCTGCCTTTTATTCTCATTTCTTTTTTTTTTTAGATTTTTTTTATTTTTTATTGGGGAATTGCGGGGATGGGAATAGCGCTGGGGAATCCGGGGAAGGGGAACAGACAAGTTGCTGTCCTTTTGTTCTTCAGTCTAGTTGTGGAGGATGTCGCTTCACTGGCCCACGTTGGTATTATCATTGCACTCTTCCCGGGTGAGGCAGTCGCTCGCCGGCCTCTGGACGGCCGCTCACGGTGGCTCTTGGCAGCTCACACCGGCTGCCAGGCACTCACGCTGGCTGCCGTCCACACACGGTAGCTTAAGGCAGCCCACTGCAGCAGGAGATGCAGCCTATGCCATCGCTGGCGACTCACGGCAGCCCAGCTCCAGGTTGAGCTGTTGTTCAGCATCTTAGCTGTAGAGGGCAGTGTCACTGGCCCTCACATGTGGGATCAGAACCGGGGCCCTCTGGCGTCCCAAGCCAGTTCTTAACCAACGTGCCACTCGGCCGGTCCTATTCTCATTTCTTATAGAGGCTGCATACTACTCTGGTTACCTTTCCGCTGAGCTTCAACCATCATCCATTCTCTGATTTCCTAATTTCTAGTTCCTACATCTCCCTGAGCTCCAAACAAGTATTTTTTGTTGTAGTTACTGAAGTAAAATATACATAGAATTTAAATGTACAGAAATTCAGTGTTCAATTTGATGAGTTTTGACTGTTATATATACTCTATAACCACTATCAAAATGTAGAGCATTTTCATCATTGTAGAAAGATCTCTCGTGTCGATTTCCATCCAGTTAGTTCCCACCCCCACCGTCCAGAGGCAACTACTGTTCTGATTTCTGTCACATTAGTTGTCTGCCCTTGGACTTCATACGCGTATAAATGGAATCATTCAGTAGGTATTCTTTTGTGAATGGCTTCTTTCACTCAACATCACATTTTTGAGATTCCTCCATGTAATTGCACACATTAGAGGTTTTTTGTTTGTTTGTTTTATTGCTGAGTGCTATTCAATTTTACAAATATAACAATTTGCTTATCCATTTTTCCAATGGTGACTATTTGAGAGTTGTTTCCGTATTTTTATCTGTTATAAAGGAAGACGGCTATGAACATTCTTGTGTAAATTTTCTTGTAGACATATGTTTCGTTTCTCTTGGGTAAATTCCTAGGAGTAGAATTGGCTTTTACTTTATAAACAGTCATCGAAAGTGATGGAACCCTTTGACACTCCTGTCAGCCATGTTATACACAGTGAGAGTTGTAGCTACTCTACATCCTCACCAACATTTGTGTTTTGTTTTGTTGTTGTAGCTATTCTAGTACATGTAAAATGGTTTCTCATTGTGGTTTTCATTTGCGTTTCCCCATGACTAATGATGTTGAGCACCTTTTCATATGCTCATTTGCTATTTGCTTTATCTTATTTTGTGAATTATATGTTCCAATCTTTTGTTCATTTCTTTCCATATAGATTTAGATTTAGTTTTAATACTCATGATTAAAAATTCTAAGTATGCACAGAGAGTACAACAAATCCCTATTGACTGTCACTCATCAACTCTGTGCTATGATTTTTCATCATTCCTTCCACCCCACCTTTTTTTTATTTTTGCTAGAGAATATTCGAAGGCAAATCTCAGACACCTTGAATACATAAGTATTTTACACATTTCAGCCCAGAATACTTAAGTATTTTACACATTTTAAGATGATTTTTAAAAAGTAAAAATTAAGGAATTTTTTAATATACTCTTCCTCCATGTAATTGACATCATTACACTTTAAAAATCAACAATATATCCTTAATGTCAACTAGAATTCAGTTCTTTTTTTTTTTTTTAAGATTTTTATTGGGGAGTTGGGGGAAGGGGAACAGACAAGTTGCTGTCCTTTTGTT